GGGGGGAAAGGAAGTGGTGTTAACAAACCCAGGGACAAGGGAACAAGTGATCCAAATTGGTGGTGAGGTGGGTGTGGGAGGTCTGGTAGGGCATGATCAAGGGGAATGTAACAAAGAGGAAGTGCTGAAACCCTGGTGAGGACTGAGCATGATAGTGGGACAGGAGGAAAGTCAGTGGTATCTTTTAGCTGTTGAATCCCAAATGTAATTTTTAGGATTTCTTGATTAATTGTGATCATGCGCTGGTAGACGGCATCTCATTTTTCTTGAACTTTATGGTAGTTGTCAATTACTGTATATCTGTATATACTGTTTGATATTCTCATGTTTCATATTTATTTTGAATTGTACTATGGCAAGTTTTTCTTCCACAATCATCAGCCTTTTCAATGAATTTTCTTCAGCCTTCAATTCAGTTCTGATTCTTCACTCTCAATTAGGTCTTTGACTTTGGAGTTCACTCTCGTGTAGAAATGCTCTCGTCGAATTCCATATACTATTTGTAAGCCTCTCATATAGATCATATGTAAGACTTCAGGCTTTAGATTTGGATAAAGATTTTTGGAGAGATTTTTACTCTCAGCTCCTATTAAGATCTGTACCTGGGGAAAGATAAAACTTCCATCTTGGGAGTCTCCTGCTCATCTCTCTTCCTGGAGTCCTGCCTCTTTCCCAGTTCTGTGCTGAATGAAAACACTGTACGGCTGGGTGTCTTGTCCATGACCATGTCTTCAGAGGGAGAGGGACCCCCTTTCAAGCTCAGCAGGCTCCAGGAGGAAGGTGGCCAGTTGGGAGGTGTACAAGCAAAGCCACCCCCAAACCCTCATTTCTTATGCATATGTATGTTCTATGTGTGGTCCAGCTATCTGTGAAAAATACAGATAGACACACTTTGGTATTCAGGTATGGGGAAATGTGTGGTGAAACCATGCCCAGTCTGACTTCCAACTGTGAACTTCCGGCAGAGAACTAGGTCCCATTGTGCTTTGCGATTAGCAGACATGCTGGTAAGACTTGACAACCAAAGTGTTTGAGTAGGACAAAAAGGCCAAACTAAAACGTAAAAACTGCTAAGGTAAAAATTCAAAACCATGCGTAGCCCACAACTGAGACCTTGACGTTTGTGTCTGTTTGTGCAGAAAGCCAAGCGATCTCAGAATGAGTCGGTCTAGATCTACAGCGGATGGTGGTGGGGGTGAAGAGGAGGCCTCACTTTCAGACCAGAATCCTCGCGGCGAAGATGAGAGGAGGTGGCAGCAAGAGCGTCTCCACAGAGAAGAAGCCTACTACCAGTTTATTAATGAACTCAGTGACGAAGATTACCGGTTAATGAGAGACCATAACCTTTTAGGCACCCCTGGTAAGATTCAGTCTCAGCACCTCAAGGAGCAGTTCTACGCCATGAGTCAGAACCGACTCATGGCAGCGGTGGTAAGAAATGGGTCAAAGATCAGGTGCCTCCTTTCATCATTGAAAGGAAGAATTTCTAAATGAGATGTTTGCTTGGTTTTTGTAATTTTTCTCCACCTCCTAAATGTGACTTTAAAAAAAAAATCATGCTATTGGGGGCTTATACAACTCTCACAATCCATACATACATCTGTTGTGTCAAACACATTTGTACTTATGTTGCCAGCATTATTTTCTAAACATTTTCCTTCTACTTGAGCCCTTGGTATCAGCTCCTCATTTTTTTCTCCTCCCTCATGAACCCTTGATAATTTATAAATTATTATTTTTTCATATCTTAGACTGACCAATGTCTTCCTTCACCCACTTTTCTGTTGTCCATCCCCCTGGGAGGGGGGGTTATATGTAGATCATTGTGATCAGTTCCCTCCC